ATTCAGCCATTTTTGACCGCCACTGTATGTCGTATATATTGATCATATTCTTCAAAAAAGTTGGCCAACAAACACAGTGGTAAACCGCAAAAAACTTGCACTTTTCTTTCATTATCACATTTCACTTGGGATTATTTTCTTTCAATAATGTATGTAGGTATGTATGTACATTTTTTTAGAAACAATTTTGTTATAGGCTGTTGCATCATACGACAGCCAACAACAGTTCAATATGTGTATAAATAGTATACAATATAATAGAAGCAAACAAAATATTTTTTACTCACATTTACGAGATTCTCGCGTCGTATTTCATCAACTTCGTCGCGTTTAGAGATTCTTTTCCTCCAATCATCTTCGCCGCTCTTTTGCAAAGCCGCAAGCCGATCTGCAATCGAGCCTGCCTTGCAGCCAACCGCTATTGTGCGTTGATCGGGTCCCATGACCTGAAGAGTTGAAAATAGGAAACAAGTAATTAAAAAAAAAAAAATAGAGACAAGCTTTTATTAGTGGCTAATAAAAAATCGACCCGGCACCACCAAACAACTAAATGTTTTGTGGTTTTGTTTCTTTCCATTTAAGTAACGTATATTACATACTAGATATGACACAAATCGGACCATAAAAACGGGTTTTCCTAATATCCCGACTCCTGCGCACATGGCAGATTAATTCATCTTTCACATTGCACGCTTCCACTCCGCAACGCCTGCGTTCAAACCCTGGTCAAAGCAACATCGAAAAAATTATAGAATAAAAAAGGTTTCTTCTTAACAGCAGTCGTCCCTCAGCAGGGGGGCTTATATCTACTACAACAAAAACTCCAAACATCGGAATTCCAATTTCGGAAATTTTCGTAAAAATTTTGCACTCCTAAGTTTCGCCTTTGAAGGATTATAGCAAACCTCAAACTTTAGCTACGGTACAAAAATTACCATTTTTTCTAGTAACTTAGTCAGAGAAAACCATACAAATATCCAAAATTCAGGTAAATAGTACTATGCGCCATTCTTCAAGATACTGGGGCGACAATGATTGACTCGAAAAACATTCAGGAAAGTCTAGGATCTCTAACATTTTTTCGACAATAGGCACGTCCTATGAACATTGCTGTTCTGGGAAACGAGGAAGTAGATGAGTGCTGAATACGAAAGAAAATATCTAAAAATTACGGGAAAGGCTAAAACGCGATGAACATGGAACCGATTCTCCAAGAACTTTGAAACTATTCTAGGAAAACCGGGTAGAGCTAAACCACTTTTGAACAACTGCGGACATGAGAAAGGAAAATAATGTATGCATCAATTACTGACCCACGCGCTAGCGTCATAATTCTACGGCGAACTAGAACTTCTGTGGTTTATCATCGCTGAGCAACTTGGCCAAGTGATTTTCAGCAGCTTTTCGGCAGACCAATTTTTTTTACCATCAATAGAGTTTTGCGTAGACCGAAACAAATGGAAGTCAGACGGTGCAAGGTCCTGGGCTATATGGTAGATGCATTAAAACTTCCCAACCAAGTTATGTAAATTTGTTGCGAGTCATCAAAGATGTATGTGTTGGGCTGGCATTGCCAGAATGGAAGACAACTCCTTTTCTGTTGGCCAATTCTGGTCACTCTTTCTTGATTGATTTCTTCAAACGGTCAAGCTGTGCACAGTAGAGGACCGAATTGATCGTTTCGCTGCCTTTCAATTCCACCAAACACCCAACATATAAAATTTTTTGCTGTCAAACTAGGCTTCGAAGTCGTTTGTGGATGGTCATAGGCCTTTGACGTTGGTTGATCGCTTGTGTTGCTTATTCTCGTATGCAATCCATTTTTATCAGCCAAAACGAATGGTTCGCTTAAAAAAGGGTAGATTTCGTTGCGCTTCACTGGTGCATCTTTGACATCAAAATTTCAACGACGGAATCAAGAAAACCACTCCTTGGACTGGCAATCACTTGCAGCATTCTCACCGTACACCTCACAAATTTTTTGGCATGTTTTGTAGCGCTTTCGCCTTTTTTATAGTAAAAACGAACATCACATAGCGTATTGCTTCAGATATTACACTCATTTTCATATCAATATAACTTTTTGCGCTGCCGAGGAATTACAGTAAAATCTTCACACTAAAAATGTGACCTAAAATGTCACCTTTCAAATTCACGTCAGTTTACCGCAATTTGAGTAGTGTTACCAGATGTATAGGCGTCAACACCACACAGCGACGAAAGTCCGCAGAGACTTTCCAAACGACCCAATATTTAGTAAAAAAAACTAAGTGCGCCTGGGCCACACTGGAGAAGGGAAACTCACGTTACATATCTATTTTGTCTCATAACCAATATACATACAATATGTACATACATACATCTGCTTTTGCTTAAGGTTTCATTTTTTTTCGATCTAGATCCCTACCTCTACCCAGGTTCGTTCTAATTACATACAATTATGTTATTTTGTTTTCCTTTATCTTCATTTTTATCTTTATACTCTAACGATAACAAACTCGATAGTAATGTCCAGCAAATTATCGATAACGAAACCGATAAAAATATCGAAACAAATTCGTTGACAAATTCGATAAAAATTTCGATAGCAAAATCAATTAGAAAATTTACAAAAATATCGATAACAAAATCGATAAAAATTTCGATGACAAAATCGATAAAAATACCGATAACAAAATCGATTAGAAAGATAATATTATTGATAAAAATATCGATAACAAAATAAAAAAATATCGATTGCAAAACCGCTAAAAATATCGATAATAAAATAGATAATTAATCCATAAAAAAATCAATAAAAAAATTGATAAATAATCGATAATAAAATAGATACATAATCGATAACAAAATCGACAAAAATATCGACAACAAAACAACAATATCGATTAGAAAGACAAAATTGTTGATACAAATATAAAAGCAAAAAAATATCGATTGCAAAATCGCTAAATATATCGATTAGAAAATCGATAAAACTATGGTCAAGAAAATCAAAAGAAAATATCGATAACAAAATTGATAAATAATCGATAACAAATTTGATAAATAATCGATAACAAAATTGATAACTAATCGATAAATAATCGATAACAAAATAGATAAATAATCGATAATAATATCGATAACAAAACCAAAAGAAATATCGGTAAAAAAATAATCGGCAAAAATATCGATTATTATATAGATAAATTCCGAAAATATCAATAGTAAAATCGATAACAATATAATTATTATATCGATAACTATCGAGAATTCCGAAAATCTCTAAAATCCCAAAATAGTTCTCAGATTGAGTCTCTGTGTCTCTATCTTTTCTCTATAATTACCTTTATTTTAATCTTTCTCCCTCGATATTCTTCTTTACATTTATCGGTATTCTCATCCTCATCTTTTTCTTTATATTTATCTTTGTTTTTACATTTATGTTTACCATTTTCTCACGTACATATTCCCCTTTACCTTTGTTCTTCATGTTTGGCTTTATCTTTACGCAGCTTTGTTTTTGTTTTCATTTTTACCTCTGCCTTTATCCTTTTCTTTATCTATGTTCGTATTCAAATTGTATCCAGTAAACAAATATAAAGACTTCCCACCAAACAATTTGTGTTGCCGGCAATAAGAAAACGTGTCGCCCTCGGAAACAAATTTATTGCCGGTAATATTGCCATCGAATCGATTTCCTATTACCGGTCGCTCTAAAACGTCCGCCGAAGGCAACTCGCCTGGGCGAGTCGTTTTCTTATTACCTGAATGAGTCCTTTTCTTATCGCTTCAGACGATATTTGGAATAATTTTATTCTTTTTAAGACTTCATTTATTTTTTTGTATACCAAATCGCAACTTACAATGGGAATTAATTCATTTTCTCGCTGTGAGGCTTCCTATTTCTCAATCTTGTCCTTGGGCATAATTTAGATGCTTTGGCCAATACTATTGACGCCATATTCATAAGTTTCGGAATTTTTGAGAACTTTTTTATTCAAAATTGTCATGAACGAAGTGATGTTGCCGATTTGTCACCACAGCAATAAATCGGTGAGTCGCCAATTTGTTGCCATTGACGATTGTTGCCTATTTCTCATGTTTTGCATGGTGGGTACTATGTCATAAAAAGTGCCGGTTCATACTTTTATCAACTTATACACATGTACATATTTATGTGTGAATGTATGGGTTTTCCTCCAAATTTCGTTGCTACTTATAATGACTCACCAAAAATTTGATTAAACTGCGCTTACTAAATAAGTCACAAACAAGCATTCATACATTTTGTTCACATTCAATATCTTCAAAACTCTTAGGCTGCCGATATGGATCACTGAATTTACAATGAACAATTAATATTTACGTATGCGGATATCTACAGTTATAAATACACATACATATTTATGTACATGCTCGTATGAAACCAATTTTTTATTGAACTAAAATTTAATTGCTGATGACTCAGACTCACCTGCGTTAAACTGCGTCGGAGACCGCCTTGTAAGAATGTCGGTAAAGCTGTGGGATTGCGCGCCTGCGCGGCCTCACCTTCTTTTGTTGTGCCTGAAGCTGCTTGAAGCTGGTGTTCTTCTGGTTGCTGTTGTGAATTTTGTGCGCTTTGTGCGTTGGTAAGTGGTTCTCCTTGTTGCTGCTGCTGCTGTTGTTCTTCTTGTGCGCTGTTGTCTACATGCCGTAATTTGACGAAACCGCCGCTACCAAGTGGTGGCAATTGAGGGCCAATGCCAATGGCTATGCCGCCCGCTGGTGGTGCAATAACAGAATGACTTTTACTTTTCGCAATAAGATTGCTGGTGCTGTGTGTTGAGAGAAGAATGGCAAGGAAAATTGTGAATTAGAAATTAATTGCGGAAACTATTAGCGGTGATTTAACAACAAGAAATGGAGGGTATGTATGCATGGATACAAATTTATTATCTAAGTATTTGAAAAAAAAAACAAGAAAAGACAAACATCTAAAATATGGAGGAATTAGTAAAACTACAGATGCGTGTAATCAGCATTCACACAGCACAGGGGGAAGACAAGGCACGCGAATGTGGCAGCTAAGTAAGATGCGTGTCGAAGTCGCTAACACGCAAAGTGGTAACAAAATTTCCGACAACACTTACATATTAAATACCTATGTATGTGTTTTTCCTTATTTTCTTTCTCGAAGGTGGTAAACAAATCACTAAAGACTGGTTGGTTTATGCCAAGCGAGTTAAGTCAATGATGCAACATACTACATACATACATACATAGTTAACTACTGGCGGCAAATTCATTTCTGAAAACACGCCACAGCGCCACGTCGTAGAATGCATCAAACAACTTCCTAGTACGCCCCAAAACGTCCCAAGGAGCCGCAGCGACTCATGATGACTAATGAGCACTTGCAGTTGAGAGTCAGTGTTGTTGCGCTGCGCTGCAGTTCTTAGCGCAGCCGCGCAGCTTGTTGAATGAAGATAAGCTGCAGAGCTTAGAGATCTAAAAGTTGCTGTTGAAAGTATGACGGGAAAATTCTGTGCTGCCTTGCTCTTCTAAGACTCCAGATGAGTTACTTCTTACCCAGCGGCACAAAGTTCATTGCATTTGTTAGTAGCAGAAAATCAACACAAAACTAATGCGGAAATCGTGACCATGCAATATTCACTGTAAGACAGCAAAATGGGTTTTACGCGCCAAAGGGAAATATGTAGCTTTTCCTTAACTGACACACATAACGAAATGTAACCAAATGCATTTCTTCGTAGAAGTCTCGCAGTTGAAGTACATAAATACCCAGCATAAAAAATAAGAGACCGACTGGCAAAGTGTCGCCAAAGTTATTCCGAAAAGATAGAACTGCAGTATTTCCCATCTAATTAGGCATGAACAAATTTAAAATTTCATTATCCGGGGTTCTCGCTCTATTTAACACTCCGATTTTTAATCGAGTTATTGTTCTTCCATTTCCATTATGACTGAAGGGCACTTTGCAGTTCTAGTCCAATTTTCTTTCCTGCTGGGTTTACACCCCCGAATGGTTTTCTTCTGTGCTCAAATTTAAATCGATCGTGCTTAAAATGGGCACAAATGGCCACATTAAGTGTTTAGCGCGTAAAATTGGAACAGTTGCGCCGTTGAGCTGGGAAAGCTAAGTAATCTATTTAAGTCTGCCAATGGTTCGAGAGAAAGTAATGAACTAAAAAAGCGTTGTAAAAACGCATAATTGATGGAATAATTCTCATGGCTGCTGCATGAAGTAGCATTTAAGTTAGTGGGAGGCAATTTAAATTCTTTTAAGACTGTCCACTCAAGAGCAATAGCGATATGTAAATTAATCAAAGCCCACCTTAAATTATTATTTTTTAATGCCAAAACTTAATTCAGAGTTAAAATGCGTTTTAAATGTCGAGCTACGAAACTCTGAATCGGTATTTGAAACTTTAAGAAAGCAAACAAAATTTCAGTACATAGTAGTAATAATCCTCTTATACGGAATAATTTTCCCATGGATTATCATTCACCGCAACGGAAATATAAATATTTAACTACCACACGTAACAACAACCTTTGGTTCAAGGCTCAGGGGCAAAAAAAGACCAATTCAAGAGAGGATCGCCTAATATAGTGCATTAGCCTACAGGAGGGCTTCAAAATTCCTGAGGCTGGAGAGAACTGATAGTAAGCGGAGTCATTGTCAGAACTGTTGATCGAAAATTATAATTTAAATATTGAAACATCCGAAATAAACTGCTGAGAAATAGGCCCAGTTTCAGTGGCCGGCTAAAAATATGTAGAAAGGGAGCTTTTATTGAATCCATCAAAGGCACGATTTTCTTGAATTCGCGGAGTTCGAATTTTCGGAGATTTTACGAAAATCGGACCTACGCACCAGCGATTCCCTCTTTAAAAAATGTGGGAAAAAATAGGATTATAGGCCGATTTAAATGAAAATTGGTCCTTTAGTGAACTTGAGAACACTGAAATCAAAAATGTGAACTGTTTTTTGATAACTTTCATTTCAAAAAATGTATTTTCAACATTTATTCCGCGAAGGCTTTACGAATGGCACAAGAATTCATATTATTAAATGTAGTGGCTTGCTAGCGGCATATAATTTATTTTATAGGGAAATTTCGGTCTAATTAAGTTCAACGCACGAATTATCTTCACAAAAACACCAAATACATACACATTGCAGAGAGCGAATTTCCAGATTTTTGTCCACTAAGGCGGCACTGTGCTACGAAGAGATCAGCAATACCCTCAAATATTTTCCGTAGCGAAGGGATGCGGAAGATAATAAGAAAAATTGAGAACGTTTCAGAGAAAAGTGCGAAAATAAACGGTTAAACAGGGAGCCAGTCAAATATTTTTGGGTATGATTTCCTCACTATGGGCTGGTCCGCATAACTCTCATAGTTTAATAAGCATAGAGAAATTACATATTGTGGGTTTCTTTTTCTAAGACAATTCTGCGTGCTGTCATCGTATCAAAACAGCAACCACTAATTTTCTTTCTTTTGAAGTTCTGGCAAATTACAGTGAATAAAACAAGTGGTCACATGTTAATTTTTAAATATCCACAATGTTTCTCATTTTAAATTTTGCTTATTATTTTTCCATAAAAATATTGTCTAAGCTTTGACCAAAACCATATAAATCAAAAGTTTCAAACTTGTTTGAGCCACTTTATATAAAATAAATATTTTTGTCTTCCTGCTTCTAATTTAACGATTTTGTTTATCAAACATAGGGGNAAACTTTAGCTAAGCGGAATCATATATAAAGAGGTATAATGTAAGCAAATGCACACCTTCAGAGGCGAATATGTACGATCCACAAGCAGTTATATTTCGAAATCTTATTTTTGAGTTGTGCCTGGTTTGAAGACGATATAAGAAATGCTTTTCATGTATGCGAAATTTTATATACGCCACTGTATTGTATACTTTTATCTTACCGCAAAAATTTTATGGCAGTCGTTCAAGCTCAGGTTATTCTTTAATGTCGATTTTTTTGCTCCACCTTAGTACATACGATGGATATCGAAAATAAATATTTGTACCACAAATTTTAAGATTTATTCAACTTGTTAGTTCTTAATTGTAATTTATTTAAAACACGACTGCTCGTCAAAACTCACGAAACATAAATAAACTCAAAAATTACGATTAGGTCTTAAGTGACCGCTTATCTACAACTACTAGTTATCCTTCGCTCCGATCTAACATTCAAACTGCTACAAAATTTAGTGACAAATCTTGTCGCCAGAAATTAAGCAGCGCAGGCCAATTTACAAACGCGCTCGCTATAAGCACTTTCGCCAGAATTCGAGCAGCAGGTAAAAGGCAAAATTATCAAATTTGTTTGTCTAACAAATTTGTGATAATAAATATTTATTGAGCAGGACTTGGCACCTATCCCTATGTAAGCATGAAAATATTTACACGCAGATATATGCCACTGATTTTCTTCTCCTTTTTTAAGTAAATATGTACATAGCTATTTTCCAGTTCTAAAAGGTCTTATGAGTAATAGTCAGGTATGTGAATATGTAAATAATATTTACGACATACTCAGGTACATATGTATGCATACAGTAGATGGCACTCCCGAGCGCGCTCGTTATTTGAGTCAATCGATCCTTGCAGGTAGTACGTACTGGCCCTACATATATTTCGATGTATATACAATAGGGTGGTCCAAAAATGCATATGAAAAAGTAAAGTCGTAATTTTTATGCTTTCACCCCCTAGGATTTTTTTATACCGAAAATAATACACCCCTATTTTTTATTGTCAAATCAAAAAATATTTAGAGGTCGCTCAAAGCGCCCAAAGTTTCTCCTGTATATGGGGAAAAAACAAACAACAACAAACAACAAATGGTATAGAATTCTTAGAAATCAATATTTTTCCATCGATATATATATTATTCGATATAGAACAATCCTAGGGGCTGAAAGCATTGCAATTCCGACTTTACTGTTACATTTATTATCCAACGTTTATTTTTTACGTTATCTGGTAAACATTGTAAGATAAGAATATTGACGAAAACGGAAATGAAGAAGATAAATATGATGAAAAAAAAGAGGAAGAGCGAAATAACTGTTACCAGACAACGTAAAAATAAACGTTGGGTAATAACTGTTACCAAGCAATGTCAAAAATAAACGTTTGGAAATAACTCTTATTGCCGACGGTAAACATATTTCTCCTGCATAACAGTTATGAGGTAACATAAAAAATAAACGTTGGGTTATAGGCTTATATCTCTTATCGGCGAAATAAAAAAATATTTCTCATCTTATAACTGTTATGGAACAACGTTTTACGATAAAACTTATAACTGTTAAGTCCTTGGTTTCTAAGAGTGTTTGAAGAATACAAAAATTGTAAACGTTTTGTAACGATGTCGTTCTGAATTTAAGAAAAGGTCGATAGAAATTCGCAACCAACGCAACAAGAAATTCGCCTTTACGGTTTTCAACGCCACCTTAAGCCTGTGGAAGTTTTCAATGGAATCCAAATGTAGCCCTGGTGAAGGTAAGATAAAATTACGAGGACCCGCAAATGACAGAAATGATGGCTAGTTAATACCATATCAGTATTTGCGAAAATTACGTCCGAATTACACGAAGAAACCTACTCGATGGGTGGCACACATTTTTAGTAGGAGGTAAAACGGACCCCGGGTTCATTTTGCTTAATATTTTCAATGAAATTTCAACAACGGTGAGTATAGCAGCTTTAAAAAAAATCGCAACAGGTGAAGAAGCTTGGATTTAATAATTATGAGCCGGAAACTAAATAGCAGCAGTCAA